CTGTTATACCGATCAAATTTAATGTTTTGTATTTTTAAAAACCACATTCACTCGGGTTTTTCTGCACATTTACATTGTCGCTCCCACCTCCATTTTTCCTTTTAAAATTGGAAATTTGAAATTTGTAGTACACCCAAAGACAATATGTTCATGTTTCTGATATTTTGTGTATTACTTAAGTCTTGAGGCCCACATAGCACACGACATTTTCAAAATATTGATGAAATATAAAAAAAAAACGAAATGAAAATATTTTATTTTATTCATCAAAATGTTTGAAATATTGTGAACAAATATAGAAAAGGTTTTCACAATAATGTAGAAAAATATTAAATTGTTTGGTTTTTAAATTTTCAAAATATATGGTACAAAATATTTCTAAAATAATTACATCCACACATTTTCAAATCAATTTCCATCAAATTTTTCTATAGAAACTAAAAATAAACTAAATTATCATAAAATAAAATAAAATAATTATTAAATTCTTTAATACTTAAAAAAATGTTTGTAACAAAATATTTAATATGCGACTAATTAGATATATTTAGAAACATGTAAATAATTAAATGATTTTTACATTATTCATCCACAATATTTTTAAGCTATTTGAAGACAAAAACATCTTGACAAATTAACTAATATTAAAATTCGAGTTATGTACCGCATAAGTTTACTATATAATAATGTTGTATTTTCATCGGAAGAATATAATACGGGACTATATCGTAACTAAGACATAAGTGAGAGATTTAATTAGGTTGAAAAATTCATTCTCTCAATTAATGAATCAATTTTTTTTTATATATTAATGGCATTGCACTTTGTATCATTTTTTTTTGTTTTTTAACGATTCAAGCTTCTATTTTTTAAATGGGAACCTCTTCTCTTTTACTGCAAATTAACTAGCGGACGATTTTTTTTGAAAATGTGAATGTATCTAAATCAGAATCCTAATGAGTAATATCTGAGTTATTAAAATGTTAATGCTAAGGATAGTAATATTAGATGTATTATTTATTCCAGTGTTTCCCAAACTTTTTGCAATGGCGACCCATGCATTTAATCTTTATTGGGTTCGCGAACCACACTAAAAAAAACAACTTAAGTAAGCCATAAATTAATATTATTTTTACTATGATCAATTTCATCATTCTCGCCGATAAGATAACAAATATTGCATAATCGTAATAAAATAATAATATAAAGATTACTAAAAATATGTCATACTACATTCTACAATACTAGCTGGACTTCACATATTATTATACAATATAGAGGTATCTATTTAGGCCAAAAATAACAGTAATTTTAACCCCGAGTTGTGACCCATCAAAAAGATTTCACGACCCACTATTGGGTCGCCACCCATGGTTTGGGAAATGGTGATTTATACTATATTTACAAACTATATATGTTGGTAGATCAATTATTGTAACTATAAGCATTTTAAAATAATCTAAGATCCCATATTTGCTTAACTCATTACCACCATAGAGATATTATTATATTTAGTACACAAAGTTGTATAACCGAAAAACTAATTGCTCGAATTTTGAATTAAATGCACCAAAATTCTCAAAAGAAAAAAAAAAAAATACCTGCCGAATCACGATAAGTGAAAGAGGAGAGTTCCTATTTGAAAACATAATTTTGTATTTCCATAAGATCACCTTTAAGCGGTACGAAAAATATCAAGTATGCAAAAGTTTGTTCTTACCGAGTATTTGAAAATTTCAATAACCAGAATTCGAATATATTATGCATAAATTGAGGATCAAAATTGGTGCACGCGTAAAAATAAATCATATAAATACATAAATAAATATTAACAATGTGTCTCGGTGGAAGTGACCCAACGGATAACGGGTGCGGAAATATGGTACGTGTCGTAAAAAAATGATTATTCGTGTATAATTATTGCCTTAAGTCCTTAACACACTAAAGATCGAACCTCGTGCACGCGTCGGGATCGATTGATGGCGGCAAACCAAATATTTTAGCGTAAATAAACCAGCGTATTGAAAGTTTCTTACAAAAGGTCTCAATCTGCGATACTTTTGTACATAGTATAGGTATTTATATTGTGTGCCCACGATGTGCGGCCACGTTGGAGGACGACGGCCCGTCGAATATACGAGCAACGGTTGTGTGGAGGGGGTGGGTGGAAGTGGTTGAATGGCTTTTTCCTTGTTTCTTTTTTTCGATCCGAAAAGGTCATGAGTGGAAAATGTCTTCGGAGAAGGCCTTAGAAGGTCGGTAGTTCGACGGGGTTATAAAAACAGTGAGAACGTTTAATATACAAAATATTGGTGGGTAGGAACACGGTCGTATTATTACGCGATTTAAAAAAATGATTATAAAAATATCCCATTGAAAAAAGGGAATTAATCCGATGTTATAGAAGACACGCGGAATTAAAGTATGTCCTGGTAATATCAAACCATACGCCGTTGAAGACATATGATATATATTATAAAATGTTAAAATGAAATAAAATAATTTACTCGGATGAAATAAATTCTAAATACCTACAATTTGCAAATATCTGCTCTCAAAGTTAAAACAGTGTTTGTATTCCTCAAAAATGATTCTAAATACTAATGGGTTTCTATGATGCAATTATAGAGTAATCTAAAATACAAATGTTTGACCTTTACAATAAATGATTATTTTTGATCATGAATAAAAAATATGAATTTGATATTATGATTAACAGAGGAGCCAGCGTTATGAATACGGTTAGTGTAATTGTTCAATTTTGTATGGTTTTGAAAGCTGAGAAATCATCTAAAAAAATATGGTACACTTTTAAATAAATAGTTGTATGAGACGAAGAATTTTTGTATAGAGCAGGAATTTTATCTGACGGCAGCTCCTACTCTAAAATTTGGCAACAATAATATCGGTTAAAATTTCAAAATTTCTAGTTGTTTGTCATTGAATACGGTTTTTAGATTATCAATCTGAATGATTATCTACTCACCATTAAATATTAAATTGTTTAATGTTTTATTCTAAGAGAACTTTAATTCACATTATTCTAAAACATTACAATTGCAAAAAAAGTAACCATAGTGCCAAGATAATAATCCACACTATTGCGTAATGCTATAATGGCAGGAATAATAATTTATCCTTATGGGGTAAGGTTGTAAACTTATAACCTTTAAATATCACAGGTAACATTAAATGTAACAGAATTAAAAATTAAAGAAAAAAATAAAATGAAGAATTTAAGAATCATAATATTTCTTTTGTAAACAATCATATTTACTTAACTATATAACACGCGTCTTTATAAGATATTTTTATTTAAGTCTATAAACAAAATATATAGAATGGTTCACCGAGCATGCTAAACCTCTATTTTTTCCTCTGATGATGAAATTTTTCTTATAAACCATTATAATTTTTAGAACTTATAAAAATATTCAAAACAAGCATAGCTTTTACGAGCAATGCTTATTCATTAAATGGATTTTCAAAAATATAAACTATATGGAATATACTATATAGTATTTATTATATTTGGATATTTTTTACAAACTATGCATATTGATAGAAATTACCTTTAAAGTAGATAAAGATAAAATATCATACTTTTCATCTACATAGAAAACAAATCATTATTCAGATCTTAGATTTTTAAAGACTTTATGATTTAATTTCTAATGTATGCACATATTTACAATCTTATACTTAATATTATTTATTGTTTTATTTATTTATGTATTTCAGAATAATTTCAAAAGGGCAAATTCAGAACAGTATTAGAAAAAAACCAAACATTGTAATGACATAGGAATTGACAGAATATTATAACATTAACAAAATAATTTTGACCTCGACTGGGTTTCAGAATTATAAAATTAATCGAATTATTTTATCTCATTGCAAGTGGATAATAATCTCTTGAGTGGTGATTTTATTTTAAATAGTGACTTTATTCGATAATTACAACAGTGTGTCGGTGTGTAGAACAAGGTAGTAGAGCGGAAGGAAAACGTTGGCACATTAATTGTTATCAACCCTGAAGCTTCAGGGCAATCTATGTTATGGATTACATAAAAAATATTATCAACATATTATTAAGATACATCGAAAAAACAAAAACACTGCGACATCATGCAAAGAATGACATCATATAATATGTATTTGTTGATACTATATATATTGCTTTACAACAATATTTTATCTTAACAACTCTTTAGTTTTGCGTTTGCTCCAACATTTTCATCTATTATTGATTTTTTAAGTATCTAGCAATATAAATGTTCAGTTCTATGAGCAAATTATTATTTTCATAAAAAAGTGCATCCAAGTTGAACAAAAGTAACACAAAGATTTCTTTAAAAGCGTTTTATGTTTTTTTTCTTATTGAAAAAGATGACCATACATATTATCTAATATCATATTATTGAACGAATGCAGTGTTTAAGGTACCTACCTATACATAAAAACTTCCCCTATCAAAGAGTACGGTTTTAGTTATTTTTTTGCGAGTCATAAAACATTATTCGAAACTTTTCACCATTATGTAAGTAAATTGCAACAAATATACGATAAACAATGCAATTAAAAAAAAAATTATTTTAATTAATTGTAATCTTTAGGTATACGACGAATCTATTTACACCATCCTGTATGGCGTCGTCACAATTTTGGTACATAAAAAAGGCCTGTTCTTTTAATATGTAAGGACTATTAGCCATCAGCGTGCCCAGCAGCGTGGTGGGAGGGGTGTAAGGGGTTGTCCCCAGTATTTACGTATAGTAAATCCTTTTATTTGTGTCTGTATAAGTATTGCCACCACAATTCATCAAAATATATTTTTAGTCATAACATGCCCCCCTCACCATTGAAATTTCCTGAGCACGCCACGGTTAATAGCTACTTGAGAAAAGTATATTTTCTCCCCTCCCATCACACCTACCAATTCTTAGGAAATTAAATAAACGAACACAACTCATTGTTATGGATATTACAACTTAGATTACCTCCAAAGCAGCTATCGATATGGCTATGTTGGTCGTCCACCGGGATTTGTCCTCCAAGAACCAGGTCACTTCGTCAGCACAGCCGTAGAAGAACGCGTTACCGGTTACCGTGTCCCTGCACTCGGTGGGCAACGCTTTTCTCAGCGACAAATAGTCGTTGGGTCCATCTGCTCCGCAACATCCGATCTGAAACCGTATAACGAGTGTGTGGTAAGCACGTGATACAACCATGCAATGTAAAGCATGGCTATAATTATAATGAAATCAAGCAAATTACACATTAATCAATCATATATTGAATAATTGTGCTCAGAAAACACCGCGGTGCGCATCTCACCAATCGACATTGTAGTGATTAAAGTCGATGGGAATGTAAATTCCGGAAATTCAAGAAGTAAGACCATATTTGATGTGTCCACAATATTTTGCCCTATTGTTCTTGCTGACCCGACTATGCTTTAAAATTGCTAGATTTCATCACAAATACTACAATTTCATTAGGTCATTTTAAGCTGAATTATTACCCGATGTCGCTAAATGTATAGGGATTAGAGGAGCTTATATTTTAAGTATGACAATTTTAAATATTTTATTTTAAGTACCTTGATGTAACCCGCGTGCGTTGCTACGCTCTCCTTTCAACTTCCTACTCATCGTAGTAATATTGTTTTTAACCGTTAATGTTAATAAATGCATGATGTTAAAACACTGTCAATGTCGGTTCGTGTTCATGGTTTCTCAGCCTGTCTAGACAGACAGACAGACAGAGAAATGCGTCTGTGCACCATTTCGCGGAATATTAAAAATCCGTTTAAAAATCACAGAACATACAATTTGAATAATTTTTATTTGTCAGAATGCAGCCATGAGAAATATTTGATTATTAAAAACGTTCCCAATTACTGTCAATAAATAGTTTTTCTCCCTTTCAAAAATCTTGAAAGTTAAATACAAGATTCCCCAAAAGTGTAATAAAAATTAAATTAATATTTCACTAATAAATTAATATAATGAAAAAAGACACAGGCCTCGTGGTAACCTGTCATCGTGTACTATTTAAGCGTTTTATGCAAAATGGATTAAATAGTGACAACCCGAGCGTTACGAGTTCAAACATCCATATGACGTGTGATTCGATATAAAACACTCAGTAATAGTATGTGGACCTAAGATTGTATACTTAAAGCATGTTTTCTTTTAGGAAAGTGACTCTAATTGGTGTTTTTTATGGGGGGGGGGAGGGGTCAAGAGTTATTTTCAAAAGCATCAGGAAAAACAGAAATAAAATAAAGAAAAACAGCACTGCTTGGTGTTCGCTTTCTTTTTTACGTCATATTAAAATTTAATGTCTAATCCAACTCAACCACAATTTTTCTAAATAAAAAAAGGAATATCAATTCTCTAAACTCTCAAGTCTAAATAATATTTTAATGATACTGTCAATGACTTTTCATTATTAAACTTAATTTTAAAAAAAAATTTTCAATCAACAAACATTAAATAAACATAATCTTCTCAATAATCTCATACATCTGGCGGAACGCTCGACATAGTTCCGCGGAACCCTAAGGTTCCGCAGAACACACTTTGGGAAACGCTATATTAAATTATGGTGCACAGAAAATGTCGAGATGCACGTCTTATCATACCGCTGCGGGAAAGTAAATTCCGGAAAATCTAGGCGGAAAACTGTATGCTCGGGTACCGAAAATCCTTCGGCCCCGGGCTCGTCGTCGCACTCATCGAGCGATTGTAACGTATTATTATTTCCGCCGGATCAATCGATAAGCACAATACGGAAGACACGCGGCTCCAGCGATAACCAGACATTATGTACTCTACACGCACGACGGAGTATATATAGGGACAACCCGAGCGTTAAGAGTTTAAACATCCATATGACGTGTGTTTCGACATAAAACACTCAGTAATAGTATGTGGACCTAAGATTGTATACTTGAAGCGTGTTTTCTTTTAGGAAAGTGACTCTAATTGGTGTTTTTTTTTGGGGGTGGGGGGGGAGGGGTCAAGAGTTAAAAAATCCAAGTCATTTTCAAAAGCATCGGGAAAAAGAGAAATAAAATAAAGAAAAACAACACTGCTCGCTGTGCGCTTTCTTTTTTACGTCATATAAAATTGTGGCGCACAGAAAATGTCGAGATGCACGTCTTATCATACCGCTGCGGGAAAGTAATATTCCGGAAAATCTAGGTGGAAAACTGTATGCTTCGGCCCCGGGCTCGTCGTCGCACTCATCGAGCGATTGTAACGCATTATATTATTTCCGGCGGATCAATCGATAAGCATAATACGGAAGACGATAACCAGACATTATGTACTCTACACGCACGACGGAGTATATAGCGACAAACCGAGCGTTACGAGCTTACACATCCGCGTGTGTTTCGATACAATACGACTCAATAATGTGTACCGGAAAGGGGACTTTGGGTGTCTCCTTTGTTTGGCGACGACGAAACGTCGAACAGGCCACGTGGCGCCCCGAAACCGAGCACAAGCCGTCCTAGTGCAGTAATAGTATCTCCGCGAAAGACTCGAAAAACGTTTGATGTCGAACATTATTATTATTATTATTATTATTATTACAGTGGACGCCGCTTATAAGACTCGCGGATATATGATTCAGTGGCTTATTAGACTCAAAATCGTCTGAAACGGTCCGAAAGAATCCAAATACATCATAAACAATTTCGTTATAAGACTCAATAATACTTCGTTCATAAGAGTCAAATTTCGTAAACGAAATGGTAAAAAATAAACATTTTTGGTTAGAATACTTAGAAATAAATTGGTTTTTTTGTCGTTTTATTATGCGTGTATGTACAAACAATTTTATCGCATTTCACATTTTCCAATATACTCCCGGAATATTAGCTTATAACTCAAAACTAACCAAAATTACAATTTTTTTTTTCTTAAATTATAAATAAGTACATTGTACATACATCTTTTATAACTTTTTATTAATGTATTTAATCATTTTTATATGTATTATAATTATAATTTTTTTAATTTATTCAATAATAAGTATGTAATATGTAATATGTATCAAAACATTAAAATTAAAGCAAATATTTAGAAAAATGAAATTCATAAATATGTAATTAATTTTTTTTTCCCCGCTTGGCCTTCAAGATTCATTCGGTTATTAGACTCACCATGTGCTGGTCCCAAAGTGAGTCTTATAAGCGGCGTCCACTATTTTATTATGGGATGGTACCTTGGCGGGTGGTGGGTACGTAATAATAATAGGTGTTATTGGTTATTCTGAGCGTTTCCGAAAACGACGACAAAATCGAACTCGCGACTATGTGACACAATACATCGAAGGATTTCACTGTCGACGATCGAAGGCGATGGTCATTCTGCAGCAGACTCACCCGACTGCCAAGTAGCCGCAGAGAATACACAGGGAATTAGTTGTTTCGATTTAATATTTTAAAAACATTAAAAAAGTGGTACAGAAAGCGTGCTCCGCAATACAATATAATTTATTTTAATCGACTGCGGCTGAAATCGTCAAGATTAAAATTGAATTACTGTGCGTAGTGAAGTTACTAGATATTTTCAATGCGAAGTTTATAATTGATGCGATTGAAATATACCTTAAATTGGTTAATTACACCAAACACCAAATTAACTAAACATAATATCTGGAGTTGTGGTTTTTTATTTTGCAGTGGTATAATACAATTATTTTAGATCACGACTATTACATTTAAAAAAAATATATACATATATTATTTTATTAGATACTGCATGTTATTAAAAAATTAATTTGATATTTAAGAATATAATTTATTAAGAATTTTGTAACTAGATTATTTTTAATTAAAATTAATTCGAGTCAATCGTATATCAGACTTGTTACCATGACCTTAATTATATTCCAAAGTTGTATTGTTGTGGTTTTTAAATATTTTGTTTCTGAAATCGTTAAGCCATTTTAAAATCGATAATTCGTTTTATAACCTAAAGTGTCAAATTTCAGAAAATGTATGGTACTCAAGGTTCAATACGGCATTTAAAACAAAAAAAAACTGTAAACAAACCATTTATTTAACACCTCTAAACGTATGTAATTTAGTATAAATTCTTTGAAAATCTCACAACTATAACAATATCGATAAGGGTAATATTTGTGGAATAAACTGATTACACAAATTGTTATACGCAATATTATACAATATTATTAGCACATATAAATAATTAGTCGGGTACAATAATTCAAGTCGTCCGCACAATATTTGTGTTAACAATAATAATTACTCTTACAAATTAATAGTACCTAATACAAATAAAACGACGTGCTTAATATTCGACGGGCATCAATAAATCAATTATCATAATTACAATTATGTACCTGCCTGGCTGCCTATGTGACGTATAACATAATGTATTCAATATACATAATATAATACATCAAGTTTTAAAACTATTTTTTGTCCATTAGTTTTATATTTATACGATTTTAAATTAAATTAAGTGGTGTTACTCTGGTCGGGAACGAAAAATATAAAAACATTATTTACTTTTAATAAATAAGTTATGTTATTAATAATAAAAAATATGTGAATGTATTTGTGCTTAGTACAATATTGTAAATGCAACTGCATTATTTGCTCGGAATAATATTTGAATAAGAAATGCTTTCACTTTTTCGTCGAATATATTTACAAGGAATTTGAATTGAGGTTTTTTTTTACAAGAAAAAACTTAGTTATTTCGAATAAACGAAAACACATTAAATCATGTCAAGATGTACAACATTTCTGATGGATTAATTTACATTTAAATAAATCCCGAATAAAGTCCTATTGCTTTAAATTATTTAACTTTTTCGTAACCAAATAAATTGAAAATATGACAAAAAATAAAAAAATCGAGTTCTCTGGGGACACAACTTACTACACTCAACTTCTTTGAAGAGTTTTTCGTATGTGTACAAGAACACATCGTCGGCTACAGTGTGTAAGAGTACAAGGGAGCAAACGTCGAAAGTCTTAAAGAACAGATACTTCAAAAACGAGACGGAAAAAAATATCTTTTGAAATGTTCAGTTTTGCTTAACAATATTTTCGTGCTTCCAGTTTGTACGATTATAAGCGGTTGATTGTACCGAATGACAAAGGAGAACTTACCGCTGTTTTCTATTAAAATTGTTC